AAAAAAAAAAAAAAAAAAAACAGCATATCAATATAGAGACAGAGAGAGAGTGAGAGAAAGGGAGGAGAAGGGAGACATGTACCTCGCTAGGTGCGGCTGGGCTTCGCAAATGTGGCTCCATCAGGGGCCCGAACTGCCCAGTACAGCGTCAGGATTCGGCCCTGCCGCATCGATACATCGATAGTGAAGCGACCACTCTTTCGGAGAACGAGAAGACTGCTGCATGACGTCTGCAACGGGAACCCAAAAATCGAGACCAAGCGTCGTAGTCAATGATGTTTGCAACCTCGCACGTCTGCTCAACTGCCAATGCAAACGAGATCTGCCCACTACTTCGGAAGACACCTGATGATGGACAAGGAATTAAGCCAAAAACGTTGATGCAGAAGCACTCAACATGTTTCTACAGCCTGACGCGTCGGTGTCTTACCGACGGTTGTCGCACCTGAGAGGAAGTTGTGTTTATCCATCTCCCATCTACTCGGAACTTAGCCGGCGTCTTTACAGCTACAACTATCTCCAGCCGGTACCGAGTTCAGCTGGTTCGAAAGGTATCATGCCAGCTCTGCTTGGGGTCAGCATGAAGCTGGCATGTGCAGGGACGAATTCGTTCAAAGCCGCACGGCCGCAGCTCGAAAGGGCTGCGCCCGCAAGGGGCCACGTGTCGACACAGCATGCGTCCCGAGGCCCCTCTCCTGATGTGAGGCTACAGTACCAGGCCGAGCGTTCACATGAGAAGTCGGCGACCGTCGCCGAGCTTGGCAGTCTGTCCAGGTGCACCAGAACGAGTACGCAGCAGCAAAACTCGCACGCCACCCGTCGCCTCGAGGCACTTGTATTTGTCAGGTGTTTCCGCCCCGCCGTTGCCCTCCACCCGCAAGAAGCTCCAGCAATACTCGCCTGCACATCGCTCAGGGCTCTCGAGAAAAGAAAGAGGAAGAGACTCCGAGTTCTGAGAGATCTCTCCTGACGGCAGGTTGTGGCTGTACTGCAGGCAAACCTCAGACGGCGATCATCGGCGATCCCGCTTCCAAGTGCTCCCACTCCCCTTCCCTTCCTCTTCTCTCCCTTCTGAAGCCAAGGCTCGTAATTCGTCAAGGGGACCGTACCTCCGATGCCGTCTTGGCGGGTCCAGACCCTGCAGCGGCCGTCGTCTCCCTCGCTGTACTCGATGCCTGCGCCCGGGGGCACCGAAAGCAAGCCGTGCAGAGGGGGGGGGGGGGCTGGCCCTGCTTC